CCAAGCCTGGATCAGAAAAAAACACTATTGGCTTACTCAGAAAGACATACGAGGAATTGGTCACCCAGTGTCTTGAGCACCCTCTTGGGTAAATGTGCAGGATAACCTGAAACCCAATTTGAGAAGATGGTCTTGGGGGAGAAGCTGAGAAAGTCAATTCTAAGCATATATATACATACATATATATATGCATATATACATGTGCATATATATGCACACGTACATCAAAGTTCCCAAAATGAGCAAATGTTTGGAGATAAGCTGCTATCTGGTACTCCAGCCAGATGTATGTATAATTACAAACTTTCAACTTGCAAGCATTTGAAAAATAATAAAGAGATGTAATTAGAGAGAACCTGGCTTTAAGTTTTCCTCAATTGGAAACATTTGTATTCCTAAATTGGTGTTTCTGAATGCAAAACTGTAGGTCCTAGATATTAAAACAAAAGACAGTTAACAGCCTACTTTAATTGAAATTTAGAAGGTGCTAAGACAGAGGTTCTCAACCTGTGGGTCGCGACCCTTGGTGTCTAAGGACCCTTTCACAAGGGTTGCCTAAGACCACCAGAAAACACAGATATTTACATTACAATTCATAACAATAGCAACATTACAGTTATGAAGTAGCAACATAAATAATTTTATGGTTGGGGTCAGCACAACATGAGGAACTGTATTAAAGGGTCACAGTATGAGGAAAGTTGAGAACCACTACTCCAAAAGAAGAAACAATAAAGCTGTTAATTTGCAGAATATGAATAGAGAACACTTGGAAAATATACCAGGGCCCCAGATCTTAGTAGACCCCATCCCTTAGCACAACTGAATGCAGGATGGAAACACCATTCAGGCCATAAAATTCAGCATATAGACAGTACCACCTGCCAAAACTAAAACAAAAACCTAATCCATCAAAGTCCATAGTTCTAAAAAAGTCACTAAGTGTAATTCCACTTCTGGCTAACTGTTCTTGTTACCCGAATTATGTCAACCCAGAACCTTGTTTTTGTGCTTAAAAGCTCAAGCCGAGAAAGGTTTGGAGCTACACTTGGATCCCAAACACCCAATATAGTAGCCAACTGGCTAATAAAGACTTTCTATGGACTTAAACCCATTTCAAAAGAGTTGTCTCTGGTGGATATCCCACAACAAAAGCAGTATCAGATTTAAAATAGATATCTGAGGACCAGGAGACCAGAAAGAAAGTCTTAGAGAGCATGTCAAAAGAAAAGATAAATGCTGAAGTACCCAACACATCCCGACCCTCCGCTTCCATCCATCCCTCTGTCCCCTTGCCTCCTCCAACAGAACTTCTGCTTCCTTCTTCATTACCGCACTTCACTCCTCTCTCCTTAGCAACTCCCAAAGAGACTTGGGCCATTCTCAAGACGAACCAAATTCTACAGGAAAAGGAAAATATTATTACAGCTCCTTTAAATCTAAAATGAAGAGGGAGAGGGGACTCAGATACTGTCTCTACTCCCTGGAGAGAAATGAGCTGAAACCTTTGATTATCGGCTTCTCTGACATGAATCAGGAAGGACTAGGAATTTGTAAAAAAAAATTTCATATTACTCTAATAGCACATGAATCCAGGTTTTCTTGCCTATGTCAATTAATCCAGTTATTGCTTTCAGGAAGAAAGGCAGAAAAATGGCTTTGCTTGGCAGAGCGGAACCCGCCACCCTTGAGGACTTTTGTAAATAGATGCAGATGCCAAAAATGCTCCTACTGAGTTAAGAAATCATCTTTCTGATCTGACACCAAAATTATTCCCACAAAATCCTGACTGTATCAAAATAATACAACAGTGTAAAATAAGGCTGGGGAAACTATACCTGACTTCCATGTCAGGTTGGCAAAAACATTAGAGTACTCAGGAACTCTTCCTAAGAACTTAGACGGTCACAGGAATGCTGTCTAGTTCCTGGGTCTTGGTTGCAGTGTGCTTTGGGGCCAGGTGGGGTGTGTGCCTACGTTATATGGTATATTCTCTGAAATTGCAGCATTCCCTACAAATGAATGTTTCCTCCAGGAGGGGAAGGGAGACTCCCTAGCTATAAACAGGAGAGAAACAACGGTCATGCCTGAGCATAAGATCCTTGAAGACCCCTCCCCAACAGTGTAAAGAGGAGTAACAGTTCTTGGGTAAGACATGTTTGCACTGTAGAACGGCTTGCAAGCTGTACAGCAGATCTGGGGTTGCAGGGTTTGGGGAGCCATCACCCATGTTGAGTGGGCTTCCTAGTGATGCAGGTGCTTTTGAATTATCTCTGTTCCTTGTAAGGAACCCTCATCCATACTCATGTTAGTAATTCCAATAAAAACTCATTAGTTCACCAAACTGGATACTAGTACAATTGTGACTTCAGCCTATCATGAACTCCCTTTCTGAAGAAAATTGATTTTCCTTATTTTTTTTGACAAATTGTCAAAAGTTTTATATACAGAGTCATCAAATCTGTCTCTCTCATAATTGGTGAATCAGGATAATTAAATGCATTTGTTTCTTTAAGTTTATAAAAATAGTTCAAATCATGGGCAGATAGACAGACAGACAGACAGATAGATAGATATAAATATATGGATGAATAGATGATAGATAGATAGATAGATAGATAGATAGATAGATAGATAGATAGACAGACAGACAGATAGATGATACACACATACACACATTTTCTGTCTACCAACAGAAGGTTCAAGAATCCAGTAATTATTCAGTCCACAAAACTGGATGTCTCAGCTGGTCTTTGCTATGTGCTGGAATTCTGAAGAAGTAGGCTCCAATGCCAGTGAAGGAATGGACTTGCCCACAAGAGCCAGCAGGCAAAGAGCACTTCCTCCTTCCATATCCTTTATATAGTCTGCCAGCAGAAGGTATGGCCAAGATTAAAGGTGGGTCTTCCCGCACCAAAAGATCTGGATTAAAAGTGGGTCTCCCCACTTCGAATTATTTAATTAAGAAAAACCCCTCACAAGTGTACCCAGCCATTTGGGTTTTAGTTAATTCCAGAGGCAGTCAAGTTGACAACCATGAATAGCCACCAGAAATTTGTCACCTCTTGTCAAATTAACACATAATCCATCTCATTATGTCATGCTTAATTTCTAAATGATAACAATAACCAGATCATAATTATATATAACATGGTATAACTATCCCATGTGCAATAGCAAAAGGATTATATGTTTAACCAGGTCATTATTATGTCTAATATAACTATCCTTCATACAACCACTAATGCATTATAAATTTTAGAATAGGGGGAAATATCTCCTGAAGGACTTTTTTTTAGTATCTCAAACTTAAATATAACAAGCACTAATAATTGATGTTATATTATATGATAAAGAAATAGAAAGAAAAAACAAATATCTGTCCAAATACATTCTTAACAAAGTATAACAGACACACTCATGTCAATTATAATCCTCGATTCTGCAACTGATCACATGACCTTAGCTTGTCTTTCTAATTACCATGCTCTACTTCCAATTCTGCACTTCATCTACCCTTAACAAGCTCTTTTCCTGGAGAACTAACCCAGACCTTCATTCCTAAAGGATCTGTGTCCTTTGCCATCCTGCCTGGATTAGGTTATCTGACTCAGCTCCAGGGTTGAATCTTTGCTTCTGGGACCTCTTGCAGAGAGCCAGCACCCCAGAATAGGTTCTTCCTTTTTTCAGGTTCCTCCACCTCCCTCCCCCTCCCTCCCCCTCCCTCTGCCTGGAGGACACGCAGAATGTTTTCTTTCCATTTTATTTCCCCAGTAGGTTGGGTCTTCCCACTTCCTCCTTTTTCCCTCTGATCAACATGACATGAGGTTACAGTCCAGGAAACCTATACCAGAGGAGAGAGGACCCACCTCTTCCTCCTGGGAGCTCCTGGGTCTCTGGGGTTCTCTTTCTTGGAGTGCCCGGCTTTGTTGAGTGGTGGTAGTTAGAAGAAAGGGAGAGACTTCCATAAATTTCCCTCTCAGACTGATGAGTCCACTCAGTCCCCTCCCACATCAGCTGAGTGGATACACTGGGGAGGGAAGGTGGGATGTGGCAAGAGAGGGAAAAAAGGCAGGCCTGCTTCATCATCACTTCTGAGGACACACCTGACACCAAGGGCCTCATTAATATGGTATTCCTTCTATGTACCCAGGACATGGAAAGCCTTTCTTGTCAAATTATTTTTCATAAGGAAAAAAGATAAATATCAGCTAAGGTTAGGGTTTTATCTTGGTAATGGTGTAATTACTTAATATGCATAAAATCATTAAATTGATTTCTATACTACAAACAAACCAAATCAAAGCCCTCAAAACAGCAGACTAGACCTATATGTTCAAGTGAATAACTGAGATGTCAGACACAACAGAATAAGGGGTGGAGAGAAACCCAGGTGAGAGATTGTCCCTAACAGGTAGGAGAAACAGGCTTCTGTGTCTTGGGTTCATTTCTTTTCTGTAGCTTGGTGAATGTTATATGATTCTGAGCAACAGGAAAATGCCCAAGAAACATTTATGAACCCAAAGTGGAGATCAAGGGTTGGGTTTTAAAGTTTGTGTTCTGTCTTAATCATATCTTCTTGTACTTACAAACTTCACTGTACCTGCCTTTCTGGGACTCAGCATCCATTCTACATTTCCAGAAGTTGTTCCCAGGCAGTAATAGAGTAGACTCTGAGAGACAGTGATGGTCCCTCCAGGACGGGAATCTAGGGCTCGGGACATCAGACACTAGCTCTGTGGCTAGAAGCTGGTGGTGAGCTCGGTCCCTCCCTAGTCTGGTTTAGGGGTTCCACAAAATCATCACCCAGACAACATGGTAAACTTTCTTTGGCTGTGGGCTTGAGGGATGGACAGAGACCTTAGCCACAATGACCACTTCCTTCACTGTGGCTCAAACTTCTGCCCAAGTGTGGGCAGATTTATAGGACAGCCTAGGTTGGGAAGAGACTAGCCAGAGGCTCCTGGGCTCTTGTAGAGTTTCACCCAGGCATTCTTACCATGGCTACTATATTTTGGAAGGCTCTGGGCCTGGGACCTCTTCTGCCAACACTTCTGCTGGCATTTGCAGGTGAGTCTCGGCCATGGAGACCCTCAGAGCATGCAGGCCAGCACTCAGAGGTGGCAAAATCGTGTTCTAGACGATTTTGAGTCCCAGGGAACTCTCCTGGTCTGTTTGAACTTCTTCTGTATTGTAGACCTTTTAGGGACAGGGAGATAGTGGGATCTCAGGGATCAGGGGGAGAACATGTGACACAGAGGTGGGGGATAGGGGGTCTGGTGGCAAGGAAGGGGTCTGGGATCTATGATGTCAACTCTGGACTTCATGGCTGCTGGTTTCAGAACTATGAAACACATATACTGTATATAAATATATAGAAAGAGAGAGGGGGAAGGGAGAAGGTAGGGCAGGAGAAAGAAGAGAAAAAGTGAGGAGGGGAGAGCTAGAGAGACAAAGAGGGAGGAAAAGAGGGAAGGAAGGAGAAAAGAAGGAAGGGAGGGAGACAGGGAAGAATGGAGAGGGAGAGAGAAAGAACCTAGAGTAAAGGCAAGTAATGAATCCTGGATCCAATGTCAGGCAAACCTGCTAAACCTTCCTTAGTCACTGATAGACTATGTGACTTTGAGCAAGTTCCTAAACCTCTCTGAGTCTCCTCTCCCCCGGGAAGTAGAGGCAACAGTCCTATCCTCCCACAGTTGGGTTGTAGGTGAAATGAGCCTCTCCCCACACCTGGAAGTGTTTCATAACCCATCAGGTGCGATGTGGAAGGTGTCAGAGCCCATGGGCTGTTCTCTACCATCTGTCTGTCTTTGTCATTCCAGGACTACTTGTCTTCCTCTTACAACTTGACTTTGAAAAAAGGGCTCTTGTCACTGGGACCCTAGAACATGACTCACTGTCTGAGCAGAGTAGGGGTGCAAACGCATACAGCATCACAGTTAAACCACCGTTCTGAATCTCCAAAAACTGTCCCCAGGAGAAGGACAACCTTTATTGCCCCGGGGGAGAGACCCTGGAGCAGGGAGTGCTTTGCCCCAGTCCAACTGCATGGGGCTGAACGAAGCATCCTTGGAGGGAATGTGCTCCTATTTTTACATGGTTTCCATTTTCTAACCGTGAGAGTAGAGCAAAACTGAACCTGGTTGAGCAAGGATCCGCGGGGTAGGGTGTTGAATCCTTTGGGCACATGCCCAAGAGCAGCATAGCTGGGTCATGTGGCAGAGTTATTTTCAGCTTCTTGAGAATTCCCCACAGAATTTTTTCTCCACAGAATTTCAGAGGGACAGCAACAGTTTGCAATCTCATCCATAGTGATGGAGGGTTTGCCTTCCTCATATCCTCACCCGCATTTGCTGCCAGTTCTTGACCTCAGCCACTCTGGTCGGGGTAGAGGGCAGTTGTCACTTCACTTGTCTCCTTTCTATAGCTGCATGGCAGTACTTACCCCTCTTCTGTCTGAGGCTTGCTTCCAGTACTCTGCGGGGCTGTTTTGAAGGACATAAGTTCTTTTAGCTTGTTTGTGTGATGGACAGGCTTTCTGTCCATGGTAGGCAGATTTGCTGGGTACAGATTCCAATCTAGATGGTCATTTGTGGTCTTTTAGAAGTTGAAGAGCATTATCCTAGCCTTTTAAATTTTTGACTGAGAAATCGGCTGTTATTATAATGGGGTTTCCCTCATATGTGAGTTGGGAACTTTTCTCTTTTTGCTTTTTGTACCCTCTCTTTGCCCAGTATACTTAATGTTTTAACTCTAACACGCACGGGGAGTTTTGTTTCTGGTCTTGTCTACTTGCTGTACTGTGTGTTTCTTGTGTCTCTGTGTTTGTACCTTTCCTTAGCTTGGGGAAGTTTTCTCCTACGGTCTTGTTGAAGATGTGTCTTTGCCATTGACTTCTCTTCCAACTATTTCTATAATTAGAAGATTTGATCTTTTGCATGTTATTCCATAGTTTCTGAGTGTTCCTTTCCTGCCCTCTAAATTTTTTATAATTTTTATTTGCCTGAATGTTCTAATTCCTCAACTTTACCTCCAAGACATGATAATTTTTGTTGATTTTTATTGAGCTCTACATTTTTCTCTGCTTCCCTCCCTACCTCTCCCCTCCCTTTCAACCCTCTCCCAAGGTCCCCATGCTCCCAATTTACTCAGGAGATCTTGTCTTTTTCTACTTTCTACTTCCCATGTAGATTATAACTATGTAAGTCTCTCTTAGTGTCCGCATTGTTGTCTAAGTTCTCTGGGATTGTGATTTGTAGGCTGACTTTCTTTGATTTATGTTTAAAAACCACCTATAAGTGAGTACATGTCATAACTGTCTTTTTGTGTCTGGGTTGCCTCACTCAAAATGATGTTTTCTAGCTCCATCCATTTGCCTGCAAAAGTCAAGATATCGTTATTTTTTTCTGCTGTGTAGTACTCCATTGTATAAATGTACCACATTTATCTTATCCATTCTTCAGTCGAGGGGCATTTAGGTTGTTTCCAGATTCTGGCTATAACAAACAATGCTGCTATGAACATTGTTGAGCACACGTCCTTGTGGCATGATTGAAACATCCTTTGGATATATGCCCAAAAGTGGTATTACTGAGTCTTGAGGAAGGTTATTTCCTAATTTTCTGAGAAATCGTCACACTGACATCCAAAGGAGCTGTAAGCTTGCATTCCCACCAGAAATGCAAGAGTGTTACCTTTACCCTACATCCTCTCCAGCATAAGTTGTCATCAGTGTTTTTGATCTTGACCATTATTACATGTGTAAAATGGAATTTCAGCATTGTTTTGATTTGCATTTCTCTGATGACTAAGGATATTGAGCATTTCCTTAAGTGTCTTTTAGCCATCTTAGATTCCTCTGTTGAGAGTTCTCTGTTTAGGTCTGTACTCAATTTTTTACATTGGATTATTTGTTCTTTTGATGACTAATTTCTTAAGTCGTTTGTATATTTTGGAGATCAGACCTCTGTCTGATGTGGGGTTAGTGAAGATCTTTTCCCATTCTGTAGGCTGTCGTTTTGTCTTGTTGACCATGTCCTTTGTTTTACAGAAGCTTTTCAGTTTCAGGAGGTCACATTTATTGTTTCTCTCAGTGTCTGTGCTACTGGGGTTGTATTTAGGAAATGGTCTCCTGTGCCAATGTGTTCAAGTGTACTTCCCAGTTTCTCTTCTATGAAGTTCAGCGTGGCTGACTTTATGTTGAGGTCTTTGATCCATTTGGACTTGACTTAGGTGTATGTTGATATTCATACATATATTATGGATATGAATATTAATAATATGAATATACATATTCATATTAGGTGTATGTTTATTTTCATTCTTCTACATGTTGATCTCCAGTTATACCAGCACCATTGGTTAAATATGTTTTCTTTTATCCATTTGATATTTTTTGTTTCTTTATCAAAAATCAGGTGTTTGAAGGTGTGTGGATTAATATCTGGGTCTTTGATTTGGTTCCATTGATATTCCTGTCTGTTTTTATGCCAATACCAGGCTGTTTGCAGTACTGTTGCTCTATAGTAGAGTTTGAAGTCAGGGATTGTGATGCCTTCAGAAGTTCTCTTATTGTACAGGATTGTTTTGGTTATCTTGGGTTTTTTGCTTTTCCATATGAAGTTGAGTACCGTTCTTTCAAGGTCTGTGAAGAATTTTGCTAGGATTTTGATGTGCATTGCATTGAATCTGTAGATTGCTTTTGGTAGGATTGCCATTTTTACTATGTTAATTCTACCTACCCAAGAGCATGGGAGATTTTTCCACTTTCTGGTGTCTTCTTCAATTTCTTTCCTTCAGAGATTAAAAGTTCTTGTCATACAAGTCTTCCACTTGTTTGGTTAGAGTTACTCTGAGATATTTTATCTTATTTGTGGCTATTGTGAAGGGTGATGCTTCTCTGATTTCTTTCTCAGCCCATTTATCATCTGTGTACAGGAGGGCTACTGATTTTTTTTTTAGTTAATCTTGTATCCTGCTACATTACTGAAAATGTTTATGAGTTGTATAAGTTCCTTGGGAGAACTTTTGGGGTCGCTTATGTAAACTATCATATCATCAGCAAACAGTGAGAGTTTGACTTCTTTTCCAATTTGTATCCGCTTGATCTCCTTTTGGTGTCTTATTGCTCTAGCTAGCTAGGACCTCAAGAACTATATTGAATAGATATGGAGAGAGTGGAAAACTTTGTCTTGTTCTTGATTTCAGTGGGTTCACTAGGAGTTTCTCTCCATTTAGTTTAATATTGGCTGTTGGCCTGCTGTATATTGTTGTTATTATGTTTAGGTATGTTCTTTGTATCCCAGCTCTTTCCAAGACGTTTATCATGAAGGGATATTGTATTTTGTCGAAAGCTTTTTCAGCATCTAATGAGATGATCATGTGGTTTTTATTTTTCAGCTTGTTTATATGGTGGATTACGTTGACAGATTTTCATATGTTGAATCATCCCTACATCTCTGGGATGAAGCCGACTTATCATGGTGGATGTTGGTTCTGATGTGTTCTTGGATTTGATTTGCCAGTATTTTATTTAGTATTTTTGCATCAATGTTCATGAGTGAGATTAGTCTGTAATTCTCTTTGTTAATAATTTCTTTGTGTGGTTTGGGTATCAGGGCAATTATAGTCTCATAAAAAGAGTTTGGCAATGTTCTTTCTGTTTCTATTGTGTGGAACAATTTGAAGAGTATTGGTATTAGTTCTTCTTTGAAAATCTTGTAGAACTCTGAGCTGAAATCATCTGGTCCTGGGATTTTTTTGGTTGGGAGACTTTTGATGACTATTTCTATTTCTTCAGCAGTTACAGTTCTGTTTAATGTGTTTATCTGGTCTTGATTTTTATTTTGGTAAATGATATTTATCCAGGAAGTTGTCCATTTCCTTTAAGATTTCCAATTCTATGGAGTACAGGTTTTTGAAAGATGACCTAATGATTCTCTGTATTTCCTCCATGTCTATTGTTATGTCCCCCTTTTTATTTCTGATTTTGTTAATTTGGATATTCTCGCTCTGCCTTTTGGTTAGTTTGGATAAAGGTGTGTCTGTTTTGTTGATTTTTCTCAAAGAGCCAACTCTCTGCCTATTGGTTCTTTATATTGCTCTTTGTTTCTATTTTGCTGATTTCAGCTCTCAATTAGATTATTTCCCGCCATCTAGTTCTCTTGGGTGAGTTTGCTTCTTTTTGTTCTAGAGTTTTCAAATGTTTTGTTAATTCACTTAATTCACTAGTGTGGGATTTTCCCAGCTTCTTTATTTAGGCATTTAGTGCTATGAACTTTCCTCTTAACACTGCTTTCATTGTGTCCCGTAAATTTGGATATGTTGTGTGGTCATTTTCATTGAATTTTAGGAAGTCTTTAATTTCTCCCTTTATTTCTTCCTTGACCCATTGATGAGCCAGGTGATCATTGTTTAATTTCTATGTGTTTGCAGATTTTCTGGAATTAGTATTATTGTTGAATTCTAGTTTTAAGCCATGGTGATCTGATAAGATACATGGGGTTATTTCAAATTTTTTTGTATTTGTTGAGGTTTGTTTTGTTTCCAAATATGTGGTCAATTTTTGAGAAGGTTCCACGAGGTGCTGAGGTGTATTCTTTTATGTTTGGATGGACTATTCTATAGATGCCTGTTAATCCTATTTGAGTAATAACATCTGTTAGTTCCCTTATTTCTCTGTCTATTTTTTTTTTGTCTGATTGACCTGTCCAGTGGGAGAGGGGAGTGTTGAAGTCTCCCATTATTAGTATGTGGGGTTTGATGTATGATTTAAGCTTTAGAAGTGTTTTTTTTACATATGAGGGTGCCCTTGTATTTTGGGCATAGATGTTCAGTATTGAAATTTCCTCTTGATGGATTTTTCCTGTAACTAATATGAAATGTCCTTCTTTGTCTCTTTTGATTGATTTTAGCTTGAAGTCTATTTGAGTAGATATTAGTGTTAGGAATTTTTCCTAACACAAGCTCTCTGCTGACGCCAAAAATCCCAATCAAGCCAAATCACAACAAGTCAAATTAAAAAAATATCCAGGTTTAATGGGATTCCTGCACTCTCAGGTGACCCTGAGGGGGAACTGTGAGGCTGTTAAAGTGACCACCTGGGGAAGGAAAAAAGAGACCACGGGTAAACTTTCCAGGGAAGCAGTTTAAATAGACTAAGGGTGTGGCCAAGATTTTGGTGGGGGGAGGGGGGATCAAGATTTGGCAGGCACAGAGATGGGGCCTCCAAAGATGGAGGCAAGAGACTGGGGCTTACAATTAGGATAGCTACACCAGCTTGTTTCTTAGGTCCATTTGATTGGAATTTTTTTTTCCCAACCCTCTACTCTGAGGCGATGTTTGCCTTTGAGGTTGAAGTGTGTTTCTTGTATGCAGAAGAAGGATGGATTCTGTTTCATATCCAATCTGTTAGTGTAGTGATACAAGCGGCAGACTGCATTCCCACAGCCCGGCTCACGGCTAGCTTTACCCGAAATAATTACACGGAAACTGTATTCTTTTAAACACTGCCTGGCCCATTAGTTCTAGCCTCTTATTGGCTAACTCTCACATCTTGACTCAACCCATTTCTAATAATCTGTGTAGCACCACGAGGTTGTGGCTTACCGGGAAAGATTCAGCATGTCTGACCTAGCAGCTTCATGGTGCGTGGCTCTCTGCCTCTGCCTGACTCTGCTTCTTTCTCCCAGCATTCTGTTCTGTCTACACCACCCACCTATTTTCTGACATATCAGGCCAAGCAGTTTCTTTATTAATTAACCAATGAAAGCAACACATAGGAAGAAGACCCACCTACATCATGTTAGCCTGTGCCTTTTTATAGGTGAGCTGAGTCCATTTATATTAAGGAATATTAATGACCAGTGATTGCTATCTCCTGTTAATTTAGTTTTAATTGTTGGTGATGTTTATTTGTGCGTTTTTCCCTTCTTTGGGATTTGCTGCTACGAGACAACAATTGTCTGTGTTTTTGTTGATGTAGCCAACTTCCTTGGGTTGGAGTTTCCCTCTAGTGTTTTGTGTAGGGCTGGGTTTGTGGCTAGGTATTGGTTAAATCTGGTTTTGTCATGGAATATTTTGTTTTGTCCTTCTATGGTGATTGACATGATAGTTTATCTTCCACTCAATCCATTCTATTTGTAAGGCTTTCCCCTGAGTTTTCTAATTGTGTTATTGTTTACTCAATCCTATCTTTATTACCCCTTAAGCTCTCTTCAATATTTCTCTCTTTATTGGATTTTGGATTTTGTTCCTCATTTCATTCAAGTACAGATGATTTCTTGTGCATTTATTATTTTTCTCTTTAAGTTCACTGAGCTGTGTTTTTGTGTCTTCCTTATATTTCATGATTTAGTTGATATATTTTATGATTGTTCTTTTCTGTGCTCTGGGGTTCAACTATATAATTTGCCCTAGAGAAAGAACACTTATGTGAGACTGGTGGGTTTGGAGAGCGAGATCTACTTTCTTGTCCTTTCATGTCTTTTGTGGCTTTGTGCTGTATCCTGAGCATGTGAACTTCTTTCTTTGGTTGTGTGTCTGTTGTGAGATTCTAGGTGGCATTGGATTGAGTCAGGGCAGAAACTGAATGAATTGAGGCAGGCCGGGAACATCTGGTATATAAACATCTTATTAATAATTAGGTATGGAAGCCGGGCAGTGGTGACACATGTCTTTAATCCCACCGTTCAGGAGGCAGAGCAGGAAGATCTCTGTGAGTTCAAGGAAAGCCTGGTCTACAAGAGATAGTTCCAGTAATTAGGCCTGGGAATGTGGAGATGGTCCAGGGTTATTGAGGGTCAGGGGAACACAGTATGTGAGGTAAGTGTCCAGAGACATGCCTGCAAGTGTAGACATAATACAGGGGCAGAGGAGGCCAGAAGGATATGTGAGGTGTATGT